GCTCTAATCACCTCCATATGTCATCTGCTCTGTTTAGTAGAGAGAGAAAACACACCTCATTCCATCCCCTCTTGAGAGGAGTGCAGCGAGCAGCGTATCAATATCTCCTCGGGCTTTACTGGGCATAACCCACAAAAGAATGCATTACCCAAGAAGCTCCATTTATAATCAGGGCTGCTCTATATTAAAATGCTGCTATGTCAGTGAATACGGGAAACTGGCATTTCTCCTCCCTGATGTGTTGAGAAAGGTCAGAACCCTGCTCATGCTGTTCTACTACCACCGCCCATTTAGAATGGAATTCAGCAGGCCGGATGACATTTTCTATGATGCGGCCTGACCTTCCTACTCACTTTTATAGCAGGATATTTTTAACGTTGAGGTGTGAAATCCGTTATATTTTCCAACACCTGCATTCTCTTCTGCTCATCAGTCCCGGTAATGGCTGCCCCCTTGTTTTTATTGTTTTGGATGGTTTTCTCAGGGTATAGTTCTGTGTTTTTTTTTATTGAACTATGTTGCAGCCTCCATCCCAGAGGACAACATGGTATTTACACAATGTACACATTTGCAGAGAGAGAGTGAGAGAAAACTGTTTTTTTTTTTAATATAATTTTTTTTTTTTTTTCAGCATTGCCATTTTCATGAATATGCAGAGTGGAAGTTGCTCACTATAGCAGTTACAGATTATACTTAAAGACATAGTTCAACCAAAAATAGCCCACTTGTTGCTTTAAACCCGTTTAAATCTGTGAAACGTTAACCTCTATTTAGATCCCATTTTAAAGATTCTATGAGAGAAACTGTCAAAGGCAATTTTTTTTTTTAAGGTAGCTGTATTGTTTAACACTTGGCATTACACATTTTTATCTAGGTCCGTTCAGTAGCATTAGTCCACCTCTTTCTGACGCATGTGATAGAAACATAATGGCAACACCTTTTCTATCACCTTGTGTAACTAAGGTGCTAAAATTGCCTCTTTTTAACACTTCACTTGATAAAAACTCATTGTCATATTAGAAAAGCAGTGCACTTTAAAGATAGCTCATTACTTTTCAACACCACATGCATTATTAGCTGGCATATGAGCAAAATATATATATCTTTTTTCAATAATTCCTGTAAAAAGGAAACCAAACGTCCTCTGAGAACTAATACAATTAAAAAAAAAAAAATTCCAAGAAACTCCTGCTGCACAGAATCCAAAGTCCGCGACCAGGCAAGGTAATATCCCATAAGTGCTTGCATGTACATAACTTAAGGGGTTGAAGTGGGGCTGAAGTTGAATGTAAGGTTATGCTACAGTATGTACTCTAGGGTTATATGAGTTTCCTAAGGAGAACACACTTCTCAGAAGTTGCTTATTTTTAATGGAGTGATGGGTAAATGCAGAATAAACTATTGGTCCGGCCTGATAAGGGACTTACTGGACACTGCACTTCTCCCAAAAAAAATTTTTTTTAATGCCGTTTTAGCGCATCCCTTCACCACAAAGTGCCCCCCAAATCAACCGCATCGGCAGAACCACATGTGATCTTGCAGGTGGAGGAAGAAAATGTTTGAGGATCGCAGGGAGGACTTTTGTTTGACATGTGCATCATGTATTCACATGCGTCTAGGTCAAGGCAGGCAGGCAGGCTGCATTTCCTGTTCAACTTAGATGAATTCAGCAGCTGAGCATGCACAAGTGATGCTTTCAAAGGGCCAATTCGAGCTGTCTCAAACAGGAGTCGAGCCTCTAATTGGTATGCTTAGCAGGTTTCATTTTAGCAGGGCTCTGTTCTGATTCACTACCGCTGTCCTCTCTCTTTCTCACCCTCTCCATTTCTCCACCTCGTTCTGCTGTTTGTCTGACTTCCTCTGCAGTAAGCTCTCTAGCTCTAGGGAAGAAAAGCAGCTCGGTGATTGATACAAATTTGGGGCTTTATTAATGATTGGTGGAATAGTAAAGCAGATGAGAGGCAGACGCTCTGGCTTTCTGTGCTCGAATAAGGACACCGCTGTGCCCCTGCTGGCTCTTTATGATGAGCTAGAGAGAGGGAGAAGTTCTGCCCAGACATGCCCAGACATCCTGACTTCCCGCTGGGGAGTGATGATGTGCCCAGCTGGATAATCTTTACTACAAATCCCAGAATGCTTTGAGCCAGCTGGATTGGAAACAGCGAATGCCAAAGCAGTCAGAGCTACACCGCTGAATATTCCAGCAGCGCTGCTGGGGCTCACCGCATAGCCAGACTTGTTGCTGGATCAACACGCCAGATGTTGGGGTGAGAAGCCCTTAAAGGCAAGAAAATTCTTGCTTTGTGTTGCTGTGAATGTAATCCTCTCCTCCAACCCTTGGCACAAATGCTTTTACAGTATCCTGCAGTCATAGAGTCAGCAAATACTGTAATACTGTAGGGAAAGTAGATGCTGAGCAGAGTTTATTCCTTGGGCCAAGAAAGTGCCTATTTATAGCATATTAAAGCAGGAAGTGTGCACCTAAAAATGAAAATTTATGTAATGTATGTAAATATTTACATTTTAATTTCATTTCTTGTTAATGTACATTTATATACACAATTATACACACAATTTGGAAACAAGTAGTTTTAAAGTCCATGTTGTGGCTGTAGTAGCATGTAAATCTTACACTTTAACAAGCAAATCTTCAGGGAAAATACTCTCAAATCAAATGACAGCTAATTCTCACGCTGTCTTGAAAGATGAGCGGCCTGTTGCCCTCTTCATCACTACCTTCCTGTTTCTCACCAGTTCTTTCTTGGTATCCCGCTCTCTTTTCACCCACTTGTCTCCCATCTCCCTTTGTCTCCCTGTCGCTCTGTCTTGTTTCTAACAGCCTTTGCCTGTCTATCTGTCCTTCTCTCTCAGTGGGGTATATAGACAGAATGATGATTATTAAAGTATGGTGAAGATGGCCTGACTCAGACTCTGTGTTCTGCTGTATCTCCAGTTGAATCTCCCATAGGCACATCTCTGCAAGTTTGGCTTTATATTCCGCCCTTGTATTTTGAGTTGCTAGCTTCAAACATTAAAATGGATGGATACCGAGAGCTCATTTAGCAAAATGCGCACAGAGCTTTTTGAAATATACTTGCTTGAATATGGAGTCACTCTTGTTTAGTCTTCCTCAATCTTTTTAATTGAGGTATTTCGAATATTTTTTAGGTATTGTAATCTGTATTTGTTACATAGAGAAATTAAAACGAGATGGTCTTCCATGTCTTATCATACAGGCATCATTTTGTCATGGGAACTTCACATTTTCTAGGTTTTCTTGCCCCCATTTTTATACATTATGGCTAACTAAGCACTATTTTAACTTGGCTGAATACTGAGGTCTTAAATTGCGTGCACCAGAATTTTACATAAAATCGTAATTGGTGCATTTTGCGTTGCAGAATTAGGCATATGACATCTGTGAGTGTCTTTCCAGCCCTAAGCAGCTCAAGTATGCATCTGCAGTCTAGCTGTTGTTTAAAATAATGGAAATTTGACATTTTACCAAATGCTTTATGGCATTTGGGACGGAGTTATTGAGATGTAGGCATTGTTGGGAAGCTGGCTTGGTGTAATTATGTGCAGGCACCCTCAAGTCCTGCTTGTTCAGAGCATTTCAATGCAAAGATGTGGAGCCAGACTCTTTTGAACATTATAACTGTGAAGAAACTATTGTTACCTTGGAGACTGGTGAAACATCGTGAGGTATTGATATCGGATGGTCAAACTATGGGGAAAAATAAGTATTGTGCTTTTTACTGCACAAACGACTGGTAAATGGAGCTAGTGATGTGTTCAGTCGGTTTGCAGCACTGCAGTGCAGGCTTTTTGTTTTACATGTATAGGAATGTCTAGGAACCTAGTCAACTAATTGATTAGTGAGAATGACTCATTTATTTTTTTGCAGCCGAGGTGCTTTGAAGGGAAAGATGCAAATTCAACATCTTTAGCGTGCTGACACTGTGCTTTTGCATGCTAAAGATTTACAGTAACTGTCAACCAACTAAATCCCAAGAAGTTGTCTTCAGATTTACCCACTGCAACTGCATCGATCAAATGAGCACTTCAACAATAAGTTTAAAGAAAATTGCTAGTTTTGTGCCATGAAATAAAGCCACTTAATTATATAGGGTGCCATTAACAACTCTGTCTTGGTGTTCCGGCTCTTTACCACTTAGCATCAAATTTTCACCCTGAATATATATGTGCAAATACCTAAATTAGTAAATGTTGCAGTTGAGAATTGGTAATAAGCTAGCTGTTGATGCAAGATCAACTGTTGGGTGAGAAATGTGCAAATTGTGACTCTTGAACTGTAGTTGTGTTTATACTTCAAAAATATTCCTTAAGAGCAAGCACATAGAGGGCTGTTTTCTTCTGATGGATGCGCAAGGATTTTGTTTTTCTTCTAGTAAAATCATAAGGACAGTTTGGCTGTGAGCCCTTGGTGGGCCTGATCACCTGCCACAATGGGGAACCGAGTGAATTTGACTAGCACATGCAGCTGGACAGGTGACTGTGGAGCGTTAGGGTATCTGCAGGCAACAGTCAAAGATTCTCAAAACAACCAGTGTGTTGAACGTGCTTTTCACTTTAGATATCAGTCGAAGTATTTCTGTACAGACGCTTTTCTGACTCACCATCCGTCTCGACGTGTTTTCGTGTCTGGTTTATTAAATGGTGCATCTGTATCATTAGGCCCACACAGAGTCTACGCCTCAAAGCGCCACGAATGAATCTGAACGCCCATCTTTCACACGCTTCTACACGTCCCTGCCCCTTGCATGTCCGTTTTTGAAATATTCTGGCTAATTTTGTTTTCAACTGCCAGTAACTCTTATAGTAGCACTTTCTGCTCCATTTAACACATTTTAAAATGCTTAAATGTTGCACAGATTTTTCCCCGTAATCAGTGTCGAAAAATGATTGTTTGACAAAGTAACTGCTGTGTCTCTCCCCCCTCTCTCTCTCTCTCTCTCTCTCTCTCTCTCTCTCTGTAGTGTCCAGATTCAGCGTGCAAGCAGGATCTGTTGGCCTATCTGCAGCGTATAGCCCTGTACTGTCACCAGCTCAATATCTGCAGTAAAGTCAAAGCAGAGGTGCAGAATCTGGGCGGAGAGCTCGTGGTGTCTGGGGTAAGTCCTCATTTACTGAGAGGGAGAAAGACAGACAGACTTGTGCCTCTGTGGTGAAAAACTTAATTATCTGAAGCAAAATAAAATTACTGTTATTTTCTCCCATCCGTACCTCTATGACGAGAACAACTCATGCTGCTAAGATAATTTATTTTCCTGTTTTTGTTTTACAGCTCAATAGTATTTCCAGCTTGCCTATTCCCAGCCTTTATTTGAAACTAAGTTGCTGTTTAATTTTAGTAATATTAATTACTTTGATGCATCAATAGTGGTTTGTATTTAGACTGTCTTTGTCAAAATCTTTGCCCAGTAAAAGCAAATGTTGTTTTTGAAGTGTTTTACCTGCAAATATGTCCTTTAATGTGCAACCAGATATTTTGATAAATATTGATGATATTAAGCTGATATTAAATAGAATAGCTTATATTAAAGGTCATAAATTTGGGGTTAAATAACGGGTTTCTGCAGTCTTTGAAAACCTGAAAAATGTAAAGTTGTGGAAATCAATCAAATCTTTCAAAATTCTGTAATGAATATAAATTATAAAGATGAAAATATTTAAGTGCTCGTGTAGAGTAGAACATACCTGCGACTAGAAAATTGAAGACATTTGCAGGTTATTAATTCTAATAATTTAAACCGATTTCTTCAGAAGATTAGTGTCCGATATACAAGCTGAATCTGTCTGTCATCTCCATCAAATTCTATAAAAGAGAAATCTATATCATAAATGACTAAAAGTGTCATGGAAATACTAATTCACTGTAGAAAGTGTGGGAACTCCTCTAAAGGTCTTTGCAATTTCCCCTCAACTTGCAGGTGGATAGCGCTATGTCTCTGATTCAGGCGGCCAAGAATCTGATGAATTCTGTGGTGTCCACCGTGAAGGCCTCTTACGTGGCCTCCACCAAGTACCAGAAGTCTCAAGGAATGCAAAACCTCAACATGCCCGCCATCTCTTGGAGGATGAAAGCTCCCGAGAAAAAGCCGCTGGTCAAACGCGAGAAGCAAGATGATGGTCAGACCAACAAAGTGAAGCGGTCCTCTCAAAAGAAGCACATCAACCCTGTGCAGGCTCTGAGCGAGTTCAAAGCAATGGATAGTATTTAGCTTTACCGCATTTCAGTAGATTATGCTTCAGAAGTAGATTGAGCCTTAAAATCAGTCAGACTTAGCGAGTACACATTTAAACGCATTCCTGTACCTTAGTCACCAATATGCCTTTTTCCATAAGCAGTGGCTGAGTGCACTAAGGTCTATATAGCAAAAGTTATATTTTTACACACGAATGCATTAATCTGCTCAATCTTTACACAAGATTTCTTCCTGAGGACAGGTAGGGGCATACATTAAATTTTGGGCATTCCCTCACAGTTTATATGTACGTTTCCTTCTTTTCTAGATGACTATTGTGTATTTTTAAAAACATTTAAGTGTATTTTACAAGAAGACTTTTATATATTTCACACTAAGGGCTTTGATATTGCCCACTACTGTCTGATTTTTGTTTTTCCTTCCATTCTTCATGCCTATGCAAACTCACTGTAACACTTGCAATACTTGTTTTGGTATGAAACTATAAAAGAAAAACAGGCTTTGATTTAGTGTCAGTCTCGAGACCAAAGTCTTTGTATTTTGCTGTGCCTAATAAACTTTTTGATAACTCTATTGTTTTACCGTTTGATTAACTGTAAAATAGACTTAAGTTTGGTGAATATTAATGCTTTCTATCTTTAAGAGAAATAATGCTGCATGGAAAATAGTGAATTGATGTGAAACTCTAGAAACAAAGCCAAACTAGTTGCTTGTCGCAGTCACTAGAGTTGCCTAAAAAGAGAACAATCTCAATAATGCCCTCAGTAATCTCAAGGAGCAGCGGGGCAAAGCTGAATGCGAGTGAGAGGCTGAGAGCGAGCGAGTTCAATCTTCAGCCCTGTATTTAAATTCAGATGACTGGCCTTAGGCCTCTCTTCTCGTACTCCTTCCCATCCTCCCACCCTTCCATGACTCAGACACTGATTAAATGAATCAACACACCTCTTATTCGGAGGAGTGGAGAACTCTTGGGCTAAATGGCTGTGTATGGACTGGGCCAGATGTACGTGAGCCACTGAGCACCATCAACAATAAATGGGATCAAGCACCCCGAAGGAGCTTCCAAATCACAGCGATCAATATTCCTCATAAGGCCTTGTTAGTTAATGAGTTCATCATTATCTGTTGAATATATCTTTAGGTAGGAAAACATCTCTCAGTGCTGCTGCATTCATGTTAGTTAGGTTTCGCTTGCAATAGATTGATTGTGAAAGTGCAGGATGATGCTTGATTCATTGCGAGAAGCAAATGACCTCAAATGAAGTTGCTCAAAGATTTGAATGGTCAACAGGGAAAAATCTTTTCACATTAGTCAGAGCAGTGGGTGGTAAAGTGTTGCTTTTTTAGCGGCGTTCTAGCCATGCATACACATTTCTATTACGCATGCATGTGTGATGACTTCTTTGAAGTAGCCTTACGCCACTTCCAGCCTGATCCCGGCAGAAGCGCATTTACTTGTTTCTGCATTTATAAACAACGGTGTGTTGGGTCACCGGAGGTTACATGACGGATGGCTTGAGGGATATTTTTGATTCGGTTTGTGTGTTTAGTGCAACTTAATGGCATGTCAGAGGTTCCTGTGGATTTAGTACTGGTTTGGGATTTGCTTTTTTTTTTTTTTTTTTTTTTTGGAATGTTTATAGTTGATGATACCTTATGCATTCATTAATGCGCTAAAGTGTTGCTGAAACACTTTCTATAAAGCTGCTTTGAAATGATTTGCAAGTTGAATCCACTGCTTCTAAAAATGAACATTTAGATTAATATATTTATTAAAACTATAAATATAAATGACACCATCTGTGGATTTGCAGCATTCTGACATTGCACAGATCTAGTGTGTACGTGTCTTTAGGCAAACTGATTCCCTTCTGCGTAATGCCCAAATGAGCTTACTGCGATAATGTGGTGAAACGGCTTCATATTTCTAATATAACTCGAGCCTGCGCTTTTACAGTGTGTTAAATTTTGATTAATGACATCTGTTATCACACCTGAAGGTGATCTATATCAAAAGCCTCTATGGCTTTTTTAAGTACGTCCATTTGCATTCTCTTACCATTGTTTAAAATATGCTGTCAGCCATCCACCCAGTTGCAGGTTATCAAACACTTCCCGAATTAACATCTGAAGAATATTTCATCATAATTGACATGACTCCGAGACCCGCAAGTGAGAAATACTTATTTTCTCAGAGCGATTATTCAAATCAAACTGCTCCTTGTTTTCGATGGCCGTCAAGCATCGCCATGCACCATATTTTACATGGAATGTCTTATACCATGTATGTGTTATACCACATACATGTTCAAAATTGTTATCTTGTTTTGTTAAGCCAACAAATCCGCTTTACATTCGCACAGCTCATCCATAATGACACGTTTCTGATATTTCATTCTAGTAAGGAAAAGTGTTGAGTGTCAAAGCTCTTAGCCATGTAATGCACCTTTTCCTCAACACAGAGATTTTCAGATATGGAGTGATGTCCTCTCGCCCCCCGTTTCTTTCTCACATTACTCATACTGTCTGTGGTTGACCTTTCCCTCCAGACATTATGGTTCTCCAAATAGGAAATGTACTACAGTGAGGGAGGCGGAGTGGACAAGCTCTGCGCAAGTTCACCGCTGAGACAAAGTGCTTTTACACAGGGTCTCGCTGCTAAAGCAGAGCACGAAACCTTGAGTTGAAGACGAACTCGTTCAGTGCCAACTTGAAGACGTCTGTTAGGGAAGCTCAATTGTGTGAATTAACCACGAGTAGGATTGTATAATTTGTTGTTTGTCACAAGATGTAACTGATAATTGCTTGAGAAGCACAAAATAAACTTAAGGAAGTTGATTTCCGATGTTCCATTGTTCAGTTTTCTCACGGCTTCTTAACACCTTCCTCTTCTCTCCACATTTTAGCAGCCCACATGCTCGCATTCTGTCAGGCTTCAGCTGTCAGCTTTTATTTGGAGTATTTGATTCGAGATTCATTATAATTGCTGCATCTGTCAAGCATGTGCAGTGGGTTTGACCTGACCCGATTTCCCTCCAGTCCTTCAAACAATGGGCACCCTCAAATGTCTCCTCCTGTTGTTGGAAGGTGATCTGGGTGTTTCATGGATGCTGTTTGATGCCGAAAAACCTCTCCAGTTTTAACAGGGGTGCATCATTTGGAAATCTAGCTAAGGTCAACTTTACGTGCTGCTGTTTTTTTGACAAGCAAGGTTTTTTTTGGCATGATAGCTTATTTTTAACTCTCTTTGGACTGCCTTTCTTGGACAATGCCAAACTGTCTGATGGCTTAGGGAAAAAAAAGAATGTATTTTTGGGCAAATTTCATTTTTAAACTTGACGTGCAACAGTATCACCTCGCCTCGAATTCTTGTTTTTTCTCTCCCAGGATCCATCAGCCAACCCGATCGCATCTGAAATTGGCATGACATGATTGGTTGAAATGTGATCAATCAAACAATGTATTTTTTGACAGTTCAATCAATTGCGAAAGTATTCTCACAGCTTCCTGTTATGCTACAACAAATGATTCCGAGGCTTGACGCGTATGAAAAGAAATGTCTTAAGAGGTATTACCCTTCAGCTGGTCGTGAGAAGACAGGCAGCAAATTTAAATCCAGTCGTTCACACCTGAATCTCTGGGCATTAAATTGACTTAAAATGGACGGCTGAGAGATTTTGTTAGATAGTTGTGCTTGGTAACATCCATCACAACAATACTGTCTTTTACACTATACAGAAAGACTCTCTTTTTGAACACTGGACATTGCTAAGGGGGCAAGGTGACTTTAACTGGCACCATGTAACCCAAAAATTGTTTCTTCAGTGGAGCACAAAAGAGAAACATTCCTTTTAATGCAATTACAATGAACGTCCAAGCTTCAAAAAGCAGAATACATGTGGTCCATTGCATGTCTGAAGTCAAACGATAACTGTGCAAAGACTTGTGAGACTTATATTCTCCTCCAGAGAGTTGTTAACCGCAGTGATTGAATGACGGAGTCGTGAGTTGAACTTGGATGTGTTCAATTCATAAATCATTCAGAGCAGTCTTGAGAACTGAATCAACTAATTCATTGAAAAGGTCAGGCTCAAACTAACAATTCATTCACAAATTGGACGTTGCTACTTCTCTTTAGTTTTTTTTTTGTTTGTTTGTTTTTTAATCATACTTAACAGGCCAAGTCCTCATTCTCAAAGGGAAAAATATTAAAGAATTGCATAGGTTCCTCATTTTAATGCAATAACAATGAACTTTCAAGCTTTAAAAGCACCATACAAGTGGTCCATATTACTTGTGCACTTCTCAAGTCAAACTATTACTTTATAGTCTGCTCATGAGAATTGTTAACCACAGTGATTGAATAACTGACTTGGTGACTTAAATTTGAGTCCAATTCATTAATTAATCACTCAAACCAGTTTGTCAACTGATTCATTAAAAAGATCAGATGCAAATAATGATTTGTTTTCAAATTAGATGTTGTCACATGAACTTTGGTTGTCAAGATTTTCAGTGAATAATCATTATAAACAGTATTGTCTGTTCCTTACACAAAGCTTTAGTATGTATTTTTAATTGGAGAATGTAGAACACAAATCATTTGGACTATTTGTGTCTTTCTTTTTTATTGTTTTGAAGCTTAACAGACCCAGTCCTCATTAAACTTTCATTACACTGAAAATAGCGAAGAGAATATACATTAAAATGTAAATTTTTGTTCTGCAGGAATGACGTAAGAGTACATAATGACAGAATTTAAATTTTTCTGTCATTTAACTTCCAAATCAAATGACTTGTTAGAAATTCCTGTTTCTGAAACGTTAGGTTTAACGGGTTATTCCAAAGGTTGCGCTGAGTCAGACCCATTTACTTAAGCATCAACACATTTTTTTTTGTGAGGAGCTTTTCTTCTTTTACGCTCATATTCCTGGAATACGAATGCTGGGAGCAGTGTGGCATTAAATTAAGGGAGTCAGCATCCATAGCATTAGCAATCAAAATGTTCTTACTGATACACTTCAGGGAAAAAACAAACATTTTGCCGTGTCTAAGCAAGCTGAGCCTGTGTTTGTGTTGGTTTTTATATCCAATCCCTTTCCCTAATATTGATTTTGCTGAAAAACACTGTAATCTATACTATATCAGATGTACCTTAAACTAACAGCCTAGCTCTTTCCTGCTGGAGAAACGGTCTCTCTGTGTTTTGGCTACGATTTGAAATGGTAGGAGAGGTGGGTGTTTCTTAACGATCAGACTTAAGATTTTCACCTGGAAGATGATAAAATGAGTTCTTAAAGAAAGAGAAATGTCGTCTCTTAAACTTACATTTAAAGACTCTTGTCAAGAGACCAGAATATTAGAGATTTAGGGACAAGTTTGATTCGGACCAGCAAGAAACCACTCTGAACACCTTAGCATGGTGGCAGTAAGTTTTGCACAGGCAGGCACCACTCACACACACACTCACTTCCAAACAGAAGTCAGACTCAAAAAAATGTGTTCAAGAGTTCTTCAATCAGCGTTACAGGAATGGGCAGCGTTTCAACTGGAGTCCATCTGCATGTCCAT